TGCCCTCCATTGTATTCCTCTTACTTAACTCCAGTCAACCCTGCTCCTACTTCTCACTGTTTGTTTTCTCATTTGTAAAATGGCAAAGAAGTACTTGTGTGGGAAGTTCTTGGTGCACCTGTAGATGAAGGCAAGGCCTGGCAGGGGTAGGAAGTAGCCAGTACCATGTGGGAGCTGCCCACATGCTCCTGTGTTACAACGCCTTGTCTGTGGTTGTTCTGTGGCCAAGGAATATGAACAGCAGAGCACAAGCCTGTGCTTACTCAGGTTAAGTGTTATGTGGATCCCTAACTGCTCCATGTAGAGTGATGTCTGGGGTAGGATCTGTTATGAATAAAAAGTTATCTATTTTTGTTTAAGGTTACAGAGCTAAAACCGGTTAGACCAATTGCTGTTAAATTAGCTTCATTGTTAAGAGTTCTTCTTTACTTGCCCGTCAATGGTTGGTGATTTAGAAAGATCTCATGCCCATTTATTTCAGGATCCACCTGCCTTCCAGTCCTTCATCCACATAGAGTTTATCTTCAGTAAACACACTATAAAAATTACAGGTTATGCTAGCAAACTGAGCAGATAAGAGAAATTTCTCCCAGGTTACATCATTCTGTTCATCAGTGACTCAGATGAAGGGCTAGAGAGTCTCCTTATCAAGCTCCCTGATATCACCAAGTTAGGAGGAGTTTCCAGTACCCAAGAAGGCTGTGCCGCCCTTCAGAGGGAACTTGACAGGTTGGAGGGATGGGCACAGAGGAACCTTCTGAAATTCATCCAGGGCAAATGCAGGGTTCTGCATAGGCAGCTTGGGGAAATGAATGCAATGTGATGTGGCAGTCATATTTTCTGGAAAAATCTCTTTGCCCAGAATTTTGCTCCTGGGAAGCTGAGAAGCTGCAGAGGAAAAGGAAAATAATATTATCTCATTTGCTTCTCCAGTGTTGTGCTGCTTTGGAATGTGTTTGGACATTGTTTATCCGACATGTGGTTGTTTCATTGGTTTCATGTGAATTGTTTTGACTTATTGGCCATTCAGGGTCAAGCTGTGTCTGGGCTCTGGAGAGTCATGAGTTTTTCTTTAGTATCTTGGCATTCTTCTGTAAGTATACTTTCTGCATTTTTTAGTATAGTTTAGCATAGTATAGTTTAAGTATTCTTTAATAAAATACAGTATCATAAAATAATAAATTAGCCTTCTACTAACATGGAATCAGATTCATCATTCCTTCATTCCTCTGGAAACCCAGCAGATACAAGAATGTGACACACTCCGACCTGCAGTAGAGGATTTTGGAGGATCTTGAGGCATTGCTGCTCTCCTCTGCTGACAGGACACAGAGGAACATCTTCACTGCAAAGCCCTTCAGAATCCTGAGCAGTCGGATCCCTTGCTGTCCTGTGTGGGCCAGCCTCACACTGCCCTGCACACAGCACAGCACGGATGTGCCGAGTCTGTCACACCTCTGGGATCAAACTCAGTGCACACAAACTACGAGTGTCTCCTCCTGCCTACAGGGATTTCCCACTGCCTTGGGCAGGTGACCAGCGCTGTGTGCCAAACAGAGGACCTGTTTTTCTCCAGCTTTGTCCATTTGTGTCCTGGTGGTCTTTTGCAGAGTGCTGCAATAAAGAGGCAAGAAGAGCGTGTGTTCTTCTCTGGCATGGAGAAGGTCAGTGTGGAGCAGCACGTCCTTGGGGCACATCCTTCTCCTCAGACATCTCTCTGAATTGAAGTGTCTACCAAAGGGTAATCCCAGTGCAGAAGTAAAGGCTGCCTGTTCTCTCCTTGAGATGCCCCTTTGGAGTTATAGAAGAACAGCTACAGAACTGTTCTCTGCCAGGCTCCAAGAGACACCAGCTTGGCAGGTCAGCAGCTTTTCCCATACCTGGTCAACAGGCTTGACCCCCGTCACCTCACGCACAAGCTTGCCAAGCCAAAATTCCCCCTTTTATGCTCTATGTCATCACCATCTCCTCCCATTTTCTATTCGTCACGCCTACATCATCATCTTGACCACGCATGCTCCACCATTCTTTTAGGGAGTCATGCCATTCTTTGGGGGTCTTCTTTGAGGAAGGCCTCTCCTCTTCCTCAATGTTCTTTGATTCACCTTTTGGATTGCACATGCGCACCAAGCTGGTATAGTATACACCAATATTATGTTCTAATATTAAAGCATAAAATCTCATATAATTAACATTTTCCTGGTTTACAACCAAATTCTCCTCTCTTCCAACTAAATTTAGTAATAGTTATCTCTGGCTTCTTCCTCTTCTGAACATCTGCAGGAGAAGGAAAGGGGCGGGGGGGGCTGCTCTCACTTTCTTTCTTGGCATTACACCTTCAACTGTTTTATTATTTCCAAATATTAATTACTGTATCAATATTGATTACTGTTTCAATTTTATCAGCACAAATGATAACTATTTATTACACATTGAAATTTCTGATTCAGTGAAACACTGAATTGGGTGACACCCCACAAACCTTCTCCTTCCCAGCGCTATGAGACAGAAGTTCCACCAGGGATCCTCACCCATTTCCACTTGTTTCTCCTACAACATTCTCAGGCAGAGCTCTAGGCACAGGTAGGAGAAGGAGGAGGGAATTGTGCTGCCACCACACTTAGTCAGAATGGCCGGTCACTCCTTCCCTGTGCTCCTTTCAGACCAGGAGGAAGAAGGCTGAGTGGAGTTTTCTGCAGGGGTTGTTGGTGTTTCTGAGCATCTTGTCTGGCCCATCCACTACATCTCCTGCCGCTTGCTGAAGGACACAAGGGCTGCCCTGGCTTGCTTATTCTGCTTTATTTCCAGTTGAAAACAGAGAGCAAAGGCCCAGGGGAATCCTCACCTAAATATCCATAATCCACCAAGAACAGAAGCTGGAAATTCCTTGCTGGACTGTGAAGCACAGGCTTGGTCAGGGGAGCTGCAGCTCATGCCATAGCTGTGGGGACACAGAGATGCTGTCTGGTGCTCAAGTTGTTGTGGTTAAAGCCCCATCAGCTGCTGCGTGTTATAGGCACTCCCTCGCTACCCCCTTCCACTAGTGGGATGGAAAAAAGGGTAGAACTGACAGGTGGAGATGTAAACAGAGCAATAACAGGAGTAAATAACAAGAAAAAGAGAGAGAAATAATAGTCAAGTAAATCCATGGGATACATAACATTATTACTCTGCACCCACTGACCGGGTGCCCAGCCCATCCCTGAGCAGTGACAGGCAGCAGCTGGCCAGCTACCCCCAGTTTCCATACTGAGCATGAGGCTCATTGGGAGGAAATATCCTTTTGGGCAGTTTGGGTCTGCTCTCTCAGAAATGCTCCTTTCCCAGCTGCTTGTGCACCTGTTCTCTGGCAGAGCATGGGACAATATAAAGTCCTGGATTTGGGGTAAGCAGTTCTTAACTACAACTAAAACTCTATTATCACCATTATTCTCATAGTGAATTCAGCACACAGCACTGTGCCACAGTCTCCACTGCTTGATCCTGTCTTCTGCTTAGCACTGGCATACAGTTTTCCTCCGGACTTCCATTTTTTATATTTGCTCAATTATCCCATCAAAAAAAACCACCCAAAATTAAATGTAATAGCCATTTTAATTAAGTAGCTTAATATATTTAAAAGTGAATACACTCGAAATAGTGACAATATAATTTGGTTATAATAAGGAATAATTTGGTTCTGATAATAGTGCTCAAGCAAAAATAACCGCGTGGGGTACGGAGTGCAGGGCTTGACCCCCGTCACCTCACGCACAAGCTTGCCAAGCCAAAATTCCCCCTTTTATGCTCTATGTCATCACCATCTCCTCCCATTTTCTATTCGTCACGCCTACATCATCATCTTGACCACGCATGCTCCACCATTCTTTTAGGGAGTCATGCCATTCTTTGGGGGTCTTCTTTGAGGAAGGCCTCTCCTCTTCCTCAATGTTCTTTGATTCACCTTTTGGATTGCACATGCGCACCAAGCTGGTATAGTATACACCAATATTATGTTCTAATATTAAAGCATTAAATCTCATATAATTAACATTTTCCTGGTTTACAACCAAATTCTCCTCTCTTCCAACTAAATTTAGTAATAGTTATCTCTGGCTTCTTCCTCTTCTGAACATCTGCAGGAGAAGGAAAGGGGCGGGGGGGGCTGCTCTCACTTTCTTTCTTGGCATTACACCTTCAACTGTTTTATTATTTCCAAATATTAATTACTGTATCAATATTGATTACTGTTTCAATTTTATCAGCACAAATGATAACTATTTATTACACATTGAAATTTCTGATTCAGTGAAACACTGAATTGGGTGACACCCCACAAACCTTCTCCTTCCCAGCGCTATGAGACAGAAGTTCCACCAGGGATCCTCACCCATTTCCACTTGTTTCTCCTACAACATTCTCAGGCAGAGCTCTAGGCACAGGTAGGAGAAGGAGGAGGGAATTGTGCTGCCACCACACTTAGTCAGAATGGCCGGTCACTCCTTCCCTGTGCTCCTTTCACCCTTGCCACTGCCCCAGATGTTGTTTATCCCTGTGCTCATCGGGTTCCCCAGCTATCCCATGCAGATTTTGTCCCATGCAGCAGAGGACACGTGGATTTCCTTCAGAGCAGAATCACCTGAGGGCGCCGTGGAGAGGCTGCAGTGGCCTGGGTCTCCTCAGCCTGTGAGCAGAGCAGCACCGAGGTGTCCCTGGCAGAGCAGCAGTGAATGCAATTGCTCTGTACAGCTGCTTTCTAGAGCCCAGTGCTCTCACGGGCTGAATCCCAGGGGCAGCCTCCACAGCCCACTGCAGGACAAGCTCAGTCCTGCCAGGAAAGCAAATGTCCTTGTAGAGGCCAATTCTCAGGGCAGAGGGGACAATGACACACACTGTCTCTGTCATTCCCCAGGGCTCCCAGCCAGCCAATGCCTTCTCTCATTTCTTGGCCAGCCCCACCCCGAGATGTCTCACCCTCACTCACGGCTCCCTCTCCACATACCTTTGGGCAGCTACAAGAGGCAGCTTGCTGAGAGGGTAGGGGCTTTCCCCCATGCTTCCCTGCTGTTTCTTTGTGGCCGTGCTGGCCCCTCTGGGTAAGTGAACCCAACGCAGCCCTGAGCACCTCCACTGATCCCGCTGCTGCTCTCCCAGCTGTGTAGCCAGACCCTGGCACTGCTTCATTCTGCAGAGCTTTCTGCATTGAGGATAAGCAGTGAATGTGGGGAGAAGGAAACCCAGAAATCTTCTTCAGTGGCCATCTATTTGTCATTCTTTGTGCAGCCCATAGATGGTTCCTGGTTTTGGATACAAACTGTCCAGAAATGCATCTTGTCTATTGCGGAGGGTTTAGAAATTCACCTGCTGATCAGCAGTGCTGTCCCATGCCTTGAACTGTTGCTTCACCTGCCCTATTCTTCTCACTGTTTCCCTAACAAACCACAGTGCCTAGTTCAAATTTTCCCCATTTTTCCCTTCTCCTCACTGCTCCTATTTTTCTTTTCCAGTGTTTGCCCTGGAACAGTCTCCAGACATGGTGATAAAAGAAGGCCAGCCCGTGAATCTGGAATGTTCCGAGAAGAAATCCTCCAGCGACACTATGTACTGGTATATGCTGCCTTCAGAGAAGAATTCCAGTCTGACCCGGGTGGTTTATGCATTTGCAGGTGGCACAGCAGTGGTGGAGAAGGGTTTTGAGAATCATTTCAAGAGCAGCAATACAAAAGGAGACAGTATCACCCTCTCAATAGAACATGCCTTTCTCAATGACTCTGGCACGTACTACTGTGCTGAGAGTGATCACAGTGGTGAGAGTGCTGAGAGAGCTGAGCACAAACTTGTCCCTGCATAAACAGGAGCTGCTTTCCACCTTGTGGCTGCTGCACGAGGCAGGGGGACCACTTCTCACTCATTAGCCCCACTGCTTAATAACCTTGTATTCGTCCTCTTCTCAAATGCTGACAGTTTATTTGTCCATCTTTGTCTCCCTTCCATTCCAGGCCTCCCTCTGCATTTAACTTTTATTTGCAATACACTTGCTTCTGTCAGCCCTTCTTCTCTTTGTCTGCCTTCCCTTCCCCACCTTCTCCTTTCTGACTTCAATCTGCTGACTCCTTCACTCCACTGACTTCCTCTTATTAAACTCCAGTCAACCCTGCACATACTTGTCAAACAGAACAAATGATTCTGTGGGAAGTTCTTGGTGCACCTGTAGATGAAGGCAAGGCCTGGCAGGTGTAGGAAGTAGCCAGTACCATGTGGGAGCTGCCCACATGCTCCTGTGTTACAACACCTTGTCTGTGGTTATTCTGTGACCAAGGAATATGAACAGCAGAGCACAAGCCTGTGCTTACTCAGGGAAAGTGTTATGTGGATCCCTAACTGCTCCATGCAGAGTGGTGTCTGGGGCAGGATCCACCTGCCTTCCAGCCCTTCATCCACATACACTTTATCTTCAGCAAACACACTATAAAAATTACAGGTTATGCTTGCAAGGTTTGCAGATAACAGAAATTTCCAACAGCTTACAGGGTTCTGTTCATCAGTGACTCAGATGAAGGGCTAGGGAGTCTCCTTATCAAGCTCCCTGATATCACCAAGTTAGGAGGAGTTTCCCACACCCGAGAGGGCTGTGCAGCCCTTCATATGGGCCTTGAGAGGTTGGAGGGATGGGCACAGAGGAACATTCTGAAATTCAGCAGTGGCAAATGCAGGGTTCTGCACCTGGGGAGGAACTGCCCCATGCAGCAGCACTGGGAAGCACTGACCAGCTGGGAAACAGCTCTTCAGAGAAGGACGTGGGGGTCCTGGTGGACAAGAAGCTCCCCATGAGCCAGCAGTCTGTCCTGGTGGCCAAGAAGCCAGTGGTGTCCTGGGGTGCATTAGGAAGAGCATTGCCAGGCCTGAGCAGTCGGATCCCTTGCTGTCCTGTGTGGGCCAGCCTCACACTGCCCTGCACACAGCACAGCACGGATGTGCAGAGTCTGTCACACCTCTGGACCCAAACTCAGTGCACACAAACTACGAGTGTCTCCTCCTGCCTACAGGGATTTCCCACTGCCTTGGGCAGGTGACCAAGGCTGTGTGCCAAGCAGAGGACATGTTTTTCTCCAGCTTTGTCCATTTGTGTCCTGGTGCTCCTTTGCAGAGTGCTGCAATAAAGAGGCAAGGAGAGTATCCCTTCTTGTCTGGCATGGAGAAGGTCAGTGTGCAGCAGCACATCCTTCTCCTCAGAAATGTCCCTGAATTGAAGTGTCTCCCAGAGCATATTCCCAGTGCAGAAGCAAAGGCCGCCTGTTGTCTCCTTGAGATCTCCCTTTGGACATGGAGAAGAACAGATACAGAACTAGTCCCTGTCAGGCACCAGGAAACACCAGCCTGGCAGGTCAGCATCTTTTCCCATATCATGACAACATGTCAAGCCTGACTGGGAGAAGCAGGGAATCCCATGTGCCTTTTTCAGAGAAGCAGGGTTCTGGCCCATAGCTTTCTGATATCCTGGTGGCATTCCATCTCATTACATATATCAAGGATGTAGTTTTTTTGTCCTCCTAAATGCATTTCACTTCTCACCTTTCATCTCCTATCTTTCCAGGCTGGGCCCTTGAGCAATCACCAGATTCAGTTGTCCGGGTGGGAGACACCGTGACTCTGGAATGTTCTGCATCAGGGACAAATTTTGTAAACATGTACTGGTACAAGTTACCCAAGGAGAAGGATGCCAGAATGCAGCTGGTTGTATATTCAGTGGAAGGTGGCAAAGCAGACATTGAGAAGGAATTCAAAAATCGCTTCCAGAGTAATGGGACTAGCTCTTCAGGAAAAACACGGTATGACTGTCTGTCTGTCCATCTGTCTATCTATCTGTTCATCTGTCAGTCTTTAGCTTGCTCTCTAGATGCTTTTCAATTCTTTCCTCCCTCTGAATCACCTTCTCACTCTCAATTCTTCTTGTCGTCACTGTCTCACCTCATTTGTCTCTCATTCAAACCATTTCTCACTTTGCTCTTTTCATGTCTGTCTGTCCCCTTGACCATTCCTCTCTGTCCTCTCATACCTAGTCCATTTCCATTTTGTCCTTCCTTCCTCATTCATCTGTCCTTCCTTTCAATCTGTTACATCAATTCATGGCCTGGGAAGCAGGATGTGGAATAGTTTACACTGCGCTTTCTCTCTCCACCAGCTGGAAAGACAAAGCCCACTGGTCCTTAGCTGATCTGGTTTCCAGGAATTGGACAGATGGCCCATGTTATACCACAACCCTGTGACCTGAAATCTCTGCTGTTTGAGAATTGCCCCTGCTCACAGCAGGAGACTGCCCAGGTTAGCCATGGAATTTCCCTGGTGACCAGGACAAGGACCAGGAGGAAGAAGTCCAAGGGGAGTTTTCCACAGAGGTTGTTGGTGTTTTCGAGCATCTTATCTGGCCCATCCACTATATCGCCTGCCGCTTGCTGAAGGACACAAGGGCTACCCTGACTTGCTTATTCCTCTTTATCTCCAGTTTAAAACAGAGCGCAAACGCCTGGGGGAATTTTCACCTGAATTTTCATAATCCATCAAGAACAGAAGCTGGAAATTCCTTGCTGGAGTCTGAAGCACAGGCTTGGTCAGGGGAGCTGCAGATCATGCCATAGCTGTGGGGACACAGAGATGCTGCCTGGTGCTCAAGTTGTTGTGGGTAAAGCCCCGTCAGTCACAGGCAGCTACAGGCACTCCCTCACTACCACCTTCCGCTGGTGGGATGGGAAAAAGGGTAGAACTGACAGGTTGATATCCAAACAGGGCAATAACAGGAATAAATAACAAGGAAAAGAGAGAGAAATAAAAGTCAAGTAAATCCATGGAATACACAATATTGTCACTTAGCACCCACTGACCTGGTGCCCAGCCCATCCCTGAGCAGTGACAGGCAGCAGCTGGCCAGCTACCCACAGTTTCCATACTGAACATGAGGCTCAAAGATCTCCTTTTGGGCAGTTTGGGTCAGCTCTCTCAGAAATGCTCCTTTCCAACTGAATGTGTACCTGTTCTCTGGCAGACCATGGGACACTGTAAGGTCCTGGATTTGGGGTAAGCAGTGCTTAACTAGAACTAAAACTCTGTTATGACAATTATTCCCATAGTGAATTCAGCACACAGCTCTGTGCCACAGTCTCCACAGGCTCATCCTGTCTCCTGCTTAACACTTGCATAAAATTTTTTCTCAGCACTTCCACAGAAATTCCTCTTTCAGTGAAACACTCAATTGGGTGACAGCCCACCAGCCTTCTCCTTCCCAGCATTATGAGACAGAAGATCCACCAGGGATACTCACACATTTCCACTTGATTCTCCTTCTCTATTGTCAGGCAGAGCTCCAGGCACAGGAAGGAGAAGGGAAATGTGCTGCCACCACACTTAGTCAGAATGGCCTATCGCTCCTTCTCTGTGTTCCTTCCACCCCTTGCCACTGTCCCAGATGTTGTTTATCCCTGTGCTCATCGGGTTCCCCAGCTATCCCATGCAGATTTTGTCCCATGCAGCAGAGGACACGTGGATTTCCTTCAGAGCAGAATCACCTGAGGGCGCCGTGGAGAGGCTGCAGTGGCCTGGGTCTCGTCAGCCTGTGAGCAGAGCAGCACCGAGGTGTCCCTGGCAGAGCAGCAGTGAATGCAATTGCTCTGTACAGCTGCTTTCTAGAGCCCAGTGCTCTCACGGGCTGAATCCCAGGGGCAGCCTCCACAGCCCACTGCAGGACAAGCTCAGTCCTGCCAGGAAAGCAAATGTCCTTGTAGAGGCCAATTCTCAGGGCAGAGGGGACAATGACATAGACTGTCTCTGTCCCTGAGCAATCCCTGAATTTGCCAAATGAAGTGTGTTTCTGAAGCCCAACTTCCAGAAGCCCTCATGCCACAGGCAGCAGCAGTCTGAGACACCCTGGACACCCCAGCTAGGCCTCATGTCCCAGGGAGAAGCCATCTCTGGGGTACTTAGCCTATTTCCTGTCACCAAGGAGAGGTCACCCTGATCCCCATCACCAGCACCTCAGCCTGTGAGCAGAGCAGCACCGAGGTGTCCCTGGCAGAGCAGCAGTGAATGCAATTGCTCTGTACAGCTGCTTTCTAGAGCCCAGTGCTCTCACGGGCTGAATCCCAGGGGCAGCCTCCACAGCCCACTGCAGGACAAGCTCAGTCCTGCCAGGAAAGCAAATGTCCTTGTAGAGGCCAATTCTCAGGGCAGAGGGGACAATGACATAGACTGTCTCTGTCCCTGAGCAATCCCTGAATTTGCCAAATGAAGTGTGTTTCTGAAGCCCAACCTCCAGAAGCCCTCATGCCACAGACAGCAGCAGTCTGAGACACCCTGGACACCCCAGCTAGGCCTCATGTCCCAGGGAGAAGCCATCTCTGGGGTACTTAGCCTATTTCCTGTCAGCAAGGAGAGGTCACCCTGATCCCCATCACCAGCACCTTATCATCCTCAAGGCTGTCCCTGTGGGCCACAGTTGCTCCCTTCTTTCTTGCCTTGCCAGGGCATTGAGTGTCCCTCTGCTCTCCACAAGTATTTACCTTCCTCTCCCACCCCAATCACTGCAAGGCCCATGAGAGCCCTCACAAGTCTGAGTGCTTGGGCTGCTGTGGTGTCCTTTGGGGTCCTGCCTCCCTCTCACGGATGGTATTGGCTCTGCTCACAGGGCTGCACAGAGAAGAAGAGCTGTCACACAGCTGGGTGGGACATGGGGTGGCCATGCAGGGACTGAACCATCACAGCACTGTGCCACAGTCTCCACAGATTGATCCTATCTCCTGCTTAGCACTTGCATACAGTTTTCCTCAGGACTTCGATTAAAATATCTCCTTCAGTAAAACA